TTTCGTCAAACAAGTTGGCCTGAGGTTGAGCACATCCCACAAGGATTGATTCACCACTTCTTATTTTTCATTAGGTTAGGTTGACTAGAGGTTTACCTTGGTACATAGACCTAATGTCTAGAGATCTTGGGAGACTTTGGTAGGAAGGATATAAGGAAATAGCATCTCATGGAGGACTGTGCTGATGGTTGATCTAAGGTTTGTTGATTAATTTGAGGCTGAGTTGGTTGCACTTTAACTCAGCTTCTTCTGTCTAGCTGGAGTTATATAAACTCTAATGAATTGCTCGTACATTTGAATGCATGCAAGTCACACATGATGACATTGCTGTGACAATGTTGGGGTGATAGAGCCTCAAGATTTAAGGCTATTTACCAATTTTGACTCAGCTGTAAGTTGAGAGTTCGTTGTTTGGGCTAGGCATTCTCTCTCTCTCATCAAACTGGCCACTCAAGGTAGCACCACAGGAGTCAATTAATTTTGTGCTCACTAAACAACAATGATGGGGCAAGGAAAGGTTAAACACTCTAGGAGGGTCAATAGTCTAGTGCAATATCCTTTCTCTCAAAAGTTCCTAGCCAGGTCGCCTGATTCACAAGTTCCTCCATCTAATGATAAGCCTGGCATCCAGAAGAGCAATAAGATACACGCTCAATAGCGTCATTCCACAATAGGTGATCCTCTTATGCAGGCTGATGCGTTAGTGGTTGTAGCACTTTTTCAATTTTATTTTCTATTATTGTAATAGCCAACATTTGTTCTCTTTTCTCAGGTGATATTGAATTCCATTCACTTTGTTGTTCTGTACTTTTGATATTGGTAAAGGCTATTTTGGCTCATGAGAACGAGCTTTCAAGGAATTTAGAGATCAAGCACAGTGTGACCCTTGGTACTCAGTCAGTAATTGGGTGCCATTGTTAGGACTTGGAAGGGGTGAGGATCATGTATGCTCGCATTCTCTATGAGGGATCACTTTTCAATAGCCACTCCTAAAGACTAATGAGGCTCCTAACATTAGTTGCCAGTTCAGGCTTACTCATTGGAAGTTACTTCGGAAGCTATGAAGCAGTAAAGACCTCATTTGCACACTTGTCCTCTTAAATCTCACTCTTGCGGTTCACTCTATGCGAGCCATCTTCTTAATGAATTTTAGTGAGGACCTTATCCAAATGATAATGACAATCATGTAGCGAACGTTGGAGTTGAATAAAAATTCATGTGACAATTCTAGAAGATATATAAACTACATAAAGGTCTAATATTTGTCAAAGAATTTAAAAGTTCCTTAATGCCTAAGATTGTTGCAACGAGGAACCAGAAATCATGTTAGCCTTTTTGAAAGTCAATAAGGGGATGTAGATCCTTGCATAGACATAGACAACGACAACAACAAAAATAACAAAAACAAGCCTTTATCACGCTAAGTGGGGTCAACTACGTGAATCACTTTTCTCCATTGTATCCTATTGAGTGTCAAATTTTTGTATAATTCTAATAAATTATGGTCATTTTTTATATAGCATGCTCAAATGTTTTTAGGTTTACTTCTAACTATGTTAACATAAGTCAAACCTAAAACATCTACTCACCTAATTAGATCATAAAATGGTGGATGTTTAATGTGACCAAACCATCTAAGAAGAATCTCTCTAATCTTTGTATGCCACTGGAGCTACACCAACCCTTTCACAGATATATTCATTTCGCATTTTGTCTAATGGTGTAAAGCCACTCATCCACCTAAACATTCTCATCCCAGCAACACTTAAACTAAGTTTTATGCTTTCTTTTAAGGCCAAGATAGAAATGGACATAAATTGGTTTGAGAGGAATCAATCAATGCTCGTAGGTTTGCTTCTCATAGAAGGTGTGAGATCTATATTGATAATAATATTCATAGTTTTCATAAGATACCTAATCATCCAAAAATATTGATAATGATCAGATACATTAAAATTAGTATGCTCATAGGATGATTTCATATCGAATAAATTAAAAATGATTAGAATGGTGGTCATGGTAACAATATGACTCATTGTAATCATAAGACACATTTGTAGACCCATTATAATATCACATTTTGTCGTTAAAATATTGACAAGAATGAGAACTATCATCACATACGTGATCATAAGATTCATACGCATGACTATTGAATGATTCATAAAAAGTTTCACCAGTGCCTTCAAACAATATTTCAAACTCGTCTAGGATATACTTTTCCTAATACTATTCAGCATAATATTTGAAATATGATTAAACTAGCATGGATCATATATTTTATCCATATCTAAACCAAGCCCATAAAAATCTTTCAAAAATAGATGCTGATGAAAATGCCAATAAATGTAAAATATTGATTATAAATTGAATAAAAAGAATTTAGTAGCCACATAGATAGGTTCATAAATTAATGATGTCATTGTACATAATCATTGTCATCTAGAACAACCAATTTTCTTTCTTTACAGATGTCATGATAGCAAGCAAGTCAATCCAGCTGGCTTAAAACTAGATTTTAAATTCTAACTCTGTTAACATAAGTCAAACCTAAAACATCTACTCACCTAATTAGATCATAAAATGGTGGATGTTTAATGTGACCAAACCATCTAAGAAGAATCTCTCTAATCTTGTATGCTACTGGAGCTACACCAACCCTTTCACAGATATATTCATTTCGCATTTTGTCTAATGGTTTAAAGCCACTCATCCACCTAAACATTCTCATCCCAGCAACAACTAAACTAAGTTTTATGCTTTCTTTTAAGGCCAAGATAGAAATGGACATAAATTGGTTTGAGAGGAATCAATCAATGCTCATAGGTTTGCTTCTCATAGAAGGTGTGAGATCTATATTGATAATAATATTCATAGTTTTCATAAGATACCTAATCATCCAAAGATATTGATAATGATCAGATATATTAAAATTAGTATGCTCAAAGGATGATTTCATATTGATAAATTAAAAATGATTAGAATGGTGGTC